CTGCAATCCCTGAACAACCTGCTTGGGTGTACGGGCGGTGGGAGTCTGAGTGCCTCCCCCGATCTAAGAAGTGGCTGCTGTAGCAGAAACTGCTACCGCTTGAGCAAGACTAGTGCGCACGGTCAAGATCTAAGCCAAGTCTGCTGAAGACCCAGAATAACAATAGGCACAGTCGGTGCCTGAGCTGGTCCTGCTGGAGCATCCTCCACTGGAACCTGATCATGAACTGGGGCAGCTGGTGGATCTGTAGATGCTGCCCTATCTGTTGTGCGGGCTACACCCCTGCCCCTACCACAGCCTTGACCGCGACATCGGCCTCTAGTGGCCCCAACTAGTGGTACTGGTGGTCATCCGCGCTGACCGGTAGCACGTGTCCTCACCCATCTATCAGAGAACAGAATAACAAAAGTTTAGTTACCAGAATCAACAGACGCACGACAAGAATTCAAGAATGTGAAGTTTTTCCTAAAGGTTCTACAGCCTCATGAAGATAAGTACAGACGTCTCTGTACCGATCCGCGAGACTCTACTAAACCTGCTCATGACCCGTGAGACCTATGTAACCTAGGCTCTGATACCAACTTGTCACGACCCCAAAACCGACCCGGTCGTGATGGCGCCTATCGTGAAACTAGGCCAACCGACAAGTTTCCAAAATAATCCGCATTTCATTTAAAACTTAGATAAAACCATTTTCAACTGAAATTCCATAAATATATAAAGTAAAAACCAAAATAAAAGCGGAAAGTAAAAGCCCGACCTCGGGTTTTACTAAGTCATGAGCAATGCCACAATAGTTCTGAAACAAAGACAAGACCAAATAGTCTGGAAATAGCAGCAATGAACTAAAAGGAAGATAGAGAAGGACAAAAGCGGAACTACGATCGCCAGGCAGCTACCTCGCTATCTCCGTGAAAATCCGCTACTAGAATAGTCAACAGCCGCTACCGTGCCCTGAGATACCTGGATCTGCACAAAAGGTGCAGGGGGTAACGTGAGTACACCAACTCAGTAAGTAACAAGTACAAACAATAGACTGACAGGTAGTGACGAACCAAATCTCAACAGGTAACACAATTGAACTGTACAGTAAAGTAGGCATGCTTGCAGTTCAAGTATTCAACTCAACAGAAAGTAAATACAATCTGAACAGTGTAGAGTATAAATCTCAGCAAATCTCTACGTACCAATACACAGAAAGTATGAAAAATGTACCATGTACCTCCACTCTCAAGTGCTCAACCACTCAGTACTGTATATGGCCATCCGGCCCAGGCAGATCCATCCCGGAATATATACACATCACTGACCACAGTTATCCAATACCGAGGAAGGCCATTCCAGCCCTATGGAGAAGAGCCATCTCCAGGTATAAGTACTTCGGACAAGATCCATGACCAGGGAAGATCTATCCCTAAATAATATCAACTGCGCTCACTAGGGGTGTGTAGACTCCGAAGGGGCTCCTTTCAGCCCAAGCGCTATAACAAGCCAAACGAAGGCATAATCAATAATCCGCTGTGGCGTGCAGCTCGATCCCATACTGTTACTCATAATCAGGTTCTCGGCCTCACTTAGTCATCACTCTCCAGTCTCACACACACACGGGCTCACAATGCCACAATACTAGCCCGGAACAATGATAGGATATGCCAAATAACAATAACCGAGACTGAGACATGATATTATGTGCATGAACAAGACTGAGTACAGAATATCAATGAAGCTAATGATATGACAGCGAGAAACGACACCTCGCGTCTCAACAGTTATCGACGTGAAGCCTTAATATGCTAATTAGCATGATTTACAACTCATTAACTTAATCACATAATCACTAGACAGGTATCAGCAAGAAAGAGTCACCAAGCGGTGCCAAGGAATGATCCAGGCCGCAATTCTCACGGTGCACGCCTACACGCCCGTCACTTGGCATTTGCGTCACCTTAACATTTATCATAGAACACGTAGTTCGGGGTTTCAAACCCTCAAAACCAAGTTTTGAAGTGTTACTTACCTCAAACCAAGCCAAAACTCTAACCCGCGATGCCCTTGCCTCTCGATCCGGCTTCCAAAAAGGAGTGAAACCCACATGAAAATTATCAAATTATACCCAAAATCCTGAATTTGCTCAAACCCACCCCTCAGGCCTACGTCCCGGAATCCAACAAAAATTGCAAAACTAGAAACTCCTTGCACTCCCGAGTCTATACATACAAAAAACATCAAAATCGGACCTCCAATGGTCCCTCAAATCACCAATTTAAACTCTCCTATTTCAAGCTCTAATCCCCCAAACTTCTTCCTAATTTTCCACTAATATCATGATTAAACAATGAAATAATCGCCATAAACACAAGACACAAAGCCCAAGTAGCTTACCTTACTGAAAACCCTTGATTCCCTCTTGAAATCACAGCCCCCAAGCTCCAACTCGTCCAAAAATGGTGAAGAAATGGCAGAAATTCGCGAAGGAGAACTTATATACTTTCTGCCCGGCACTTCCGAATCGTGGTCCTCTAGTCGCATTTGCGACGCCGCACCTGTGGAAAATCCATCGCAGGTGCGGTCCTCACTTAAATCCCAGAACCCGCTTCTGCGGTCAACTTCTCGCTCCTGCGATCTCGTAGGTGTGGTACCCTATTCGCACCTGCGACTCTTGCCCTCTTAGCTATGTCCACTTCTGCGGCTGCTCCTCCCTTCTGCGTTCCCGCACCTGCGGTTCCCACTCCGCAGGTGCGGTTATGATAGCTGAAACACACCAGCAATTTCATAATCTCTCAAACCTCAAAAACCAATCCGTCAACCATCTGAGTTCATCCCGAGGCCCTCGAAACCCCAACCAAAGTTTCCAACAAGTTACATATCACCATTCAAACTTATTCCAACCTTCGGAACACTCAAAACAATATCAAAACACCAAATCACCCTCAGATTCAAGCCTAAAGATTTCCAAACTTCCGAATTCCGCAAACGATGCCAAAACCTATCAAACCTCATCCGAATGACCTGAAATTTTGCACACACATCACAAATGACACAACAGACCTACTTCAATTTTCAGAAATTCCATTCCGACCCCGATATCAAGATTTCCACTGCCGACCAAAAAATGCCAAATTTCCAATTTCGCCAATTCAAGCCTAAATCTACCATGGACCTCCAAATTACGTTATGAACACACTTCTAAGTCCAACATCACCTAAAGAAGCTATCCGAACCATTATAATTCACATCCGAGACCTTCTACACATAAGTCAACATCCGGTTGACTTTTCCAACTTAAGCTTCTAGATAAGAGACTAAGTGTCTCATTCCACTCCAAGACCACTCCGAACCCAAACCAACCAACACGATACGATGAAATACAGCTGAACAATACATAAAGAAGCAGAAATGGGGGAAACGGGACTGTAACTCATGAAACGACCGGCCAGGTCGTTACATTAAAGAAGAAAAAACCCTTTTCCCTCGCTTTTAACTCCGACCCCTCTAACTTCATCTTCTTCCTTCCAGACCAAAACCAACGTCACCCCCACCCCCACCCCCACCCCCATTCATATTCTTCCTTTCAATCCAAATCAACCCCTTTCGATCTCACGCAATCGACCCCAACTTCCATCGCCTTCATCTACACAATGATTCATAGGAACACCAAGATTATAGCTCGTAAAATGGACTCCATCGAACTCGTACTACCGGTGACATTTTCAATTTCATCTTCTTCTTTTTGTCATTTTTTCTTCCTCTTCTTCTTCTGGCCATATTTTTACAGATTCTGGCGTTTCATTTTAATCCAAATGTGAAAATTTTTGTTGCACAAATGCTTCTCAAAAGAAAAATGATTTGCTGCTGTGTGTCTGTGTGTGTGTTTTAGAATGTGTTCGGCTCACTTGTTTGTTTGAAGAAGAAAAAATGGTCTCTTGGCAAAAAATCTGATATTGAGAGGAGGAGGTGTGAAAATTGGAGGAGAAAGGTGTGAAAATTAGGTGGGGTCCATATTATTTTAGGAAAAGAAAAAGTAAAAACCTAATTTTAGGTAGACAACTCGCGTCTCAGAGAGTGTATTTCACGCGATAGAGGCTGACATGGTCGGGTGTTTAGTTGATCTTCTTTTGTGAATAAATAAAGTATCTAGCTAGAAATGGCCTCAGTTGAAGTGTTCAATTGATCGTTGAGGACAACTTAAAGGGGCGTTTTATGTATTTCGTCTAAAAAAATTATTAACACTATTATCTTTGCATCTCAAAAACTATAAATATAGACTTGAAATAAAATTATATATGAAAGTTTAAAGAAAAAAATTAAGGCCTTTTCACAAAATTTTGCTTTAAGCCACCTACTTTGTTAAGCCGCCACTCGTTGGAACTTGGGAGAAGCTACATAATTAGTCCAATCAATTCTTAATAGAAGAATAGTTCCTTCATGAGATGAGATGTGAAGATATTTGACAGCTTACGCATTACCTAAATTAAGGATGTAGCTTTTGTGTATATAAATAGGAAATATAATATTTGTCGTCGTAAGTTAGGTATCAATATTTAATGAAGTCTCTCGGTTCTACCTTGTCACAAGGCTCCGTTTATGTAGAAATTGACGTATATGTTTCTGTTTAATACATATTAGTTTCGCCGGAAAAAAAAAGATTTAAGCTTATTGCTATGTTAGACTCTTATGATCTTAACCAAAAAGAGGAGATAATGTGTGTGTGTGAGGGGGGGG